TGATCCTGTACCATCTTCACAATTGTTGTTATGTTTGAGTTCATTGTTGCTACCGCTGAGGATATCCATCACATTGGGGCTGTTCCTCTTTTGCACTGACCTTCCACTTTAACAAGCATGATGTCCTTCTCCAGGGACTGGTCCCACCTGACAATATGTCCAAAGTACAAGAGATGAAGTCTCACCATCTTCATTTCTAAAGAACAGTCTGAATGTATATTTTCCAAGACAGACCTGTTTGTTTTTCTAATTTGTTGTTGTTTAATGCTGTCAAGTTTGTTTCCACCCATAGCAGCCCGGTATAAGGTTTCTACGGAGCAGCTAGTGAGCTTGAATTGGCGACCTTACTGTTCAAGCCAGCTTTGCAGTCCAACACATTAACCCACAGCATCACAGCATTCCTCACCAACACCGTAATTCAAATGCATAGATTCTTCTCTGGTATTATTTATTCATTGTCCGTTATTTCAACTGCATATGAGGTAATTGAAAATGTTTTGGCTTGCATCAGGCACATCTTAGTCTTCAAACTGACATCTTTGCTGTTAAATAATTTGAAGAGGTCCTTTGCAGCAGATTTGCCTAATGTAATGCAGTGTTGATACTGTGACTGCTGCTTCCATGAGCATTGATGGAGGATCCAAGCAAAATGAATTATTTAACAACTTCAACCCTTTTACTGTTTTTTCATGATGTTATTTATTGCTCCAGTTATGAGGATTTTCTTTTCTTTCCTTACACTGAGGTGCAATTCATCTGAAGTGTGTAATCTTTGATCTTCATAAGTAACTATTTCAAGTCCTCTTTGCTTCCAGCAAGCACAGTTGTCATCTGCATATTGCAGGTTATTAAGGTGTCTTCCTCCAATCCTGAAGCCACATTTTTCTTCATGTAATCCAGCTTCTTGGATCATTTTGTCAGCATAAGGAATGAGTAAGTATGGTGAAAGGATACAACCATGCTACACAGCTTGCCTAATTTTAAACCTTTTAGAACACCTGGTTGAATCATCATTAGACTGCGAAACACATGGTCATCAGTTCCAATCCACCAGTTACTCCTTGGAAATCTTATATAGGGTCTCTATGAGTCAGAACTGACTCAACAGTACTTAATAACAACAAGAAGTATCTCTTTGGTCTGTTCAAATGATTGCCTCTTGGTCTATGTAGCAGTTCCCCATAAGCACAATTAAGTCTTCTGGAATACCCATTCTTCACAGTGCTATCCATAGTTTCTCATGATTCTCACAGTTGAATGCATAGTCAATAAAGCCAAGATCCATCTGGCACCAGCTTATCCCTAGTTCTATGTCCTCTTCAGAATTCACTTGAATTTCAATCAGCTTCCTATCAATGTACTGCTGCAACCATTTTTAAATTATCTTCAGCAAAATTTTACTTGCATGCGACAGCAATGATATTGTTTGATGCTTTCTGCATTCTGCTGGGTCACCTGTTTTTGGAATGAGCACAAATACGGGTTTCTTCCAATTGGTTGGACACATAACTGTCTTCCAAATTTCTTGGCATAGATAAATGAGTATGTCCAGTATTGCATCAGTTTGTTGAAATATTGTAATTGGCATTTCATCAATTCCTGGAACCTTATTTTTTGCCAGTTTGCCTTCAGTGAAGCTTCAATTCCTTTCTTCAACATCATCTATTCTTGATTAAATGGTACCTCTTGAAATGTTTGAACATTGGCCAATTCTTTTTGGTAAGCAACTCTGTGTATTCCTTCTTTCCTCTTTTTATTCTTCCTGTGTCATTCAATATTTTGCCCATAGAACCCTTCAATATTGTAAGTCGAGACTTGAAGTTTTTCTTAATTTCTTTCAGCTTGAGAAATGATTAGCATGTTCTTCCCTGTTGGTTTTCTAACACCAAGTCTTTGCACATTTCGTAATAATACTTTGCTTTCTCAAGCTGCCATTTGAAATTTGCGGTTCAGCTCTTTTGTTTCCTCATTTCTTTCAGTTCTGTCATCTCTATGTTCAAGAACAAGTTTTAGAGTCTCTTCTGACATCTACTTTGGTCTTTTACTTTCTTCATTGACAATATTTTTTATGTTACCCCACAACTACTCTGGTCTTTGGTCTAATGTATCAAATCTGTTCTTAAGATGGTCTCCAATTTTAGTGAACCATATGATTGTCCAATTCAAAATGACCAATACTAGTCCACTTCAGTTCACTAGTGCCTAGAAAGGAGTCCTGGTGTGGTGCTGTGGGTTAATGCGCTGGACTGCAAGGTTGGTTTGAACTACAAGGTCACCAGTCGCTATTTAGAAACCCTATACAGGGTCGCTATTAGTAGGAACTTACTTGATGGCAGTTAACAACAGCAACAACAACAACAATGCCTATGATATCAATCTACATGAGTTCCATTTCATTTTTGATGACTCTCAGTTTTCCTAGATTCCAGCTTCGTACATTACATATTCTGATTAGTAATGGATGTTTACAGCTGTTTCTTCCCACTTGAGTCATGCCATATCAGCAAAGGAAGGTCCAAATAGCCTTGTTCAATCCATGTCATTAAGGTCAAGTTTATTTTTGAGGAGGTAACTCTGCCTCCGCTGCATTTTGAGTGCCTTCCAACCTGAAAGGTCAGTTGACCTACAGAGCCACTGCACTCTGCTGGGTGATCCTACTGGTATTTAAAATACTGCTGATATAGATTTCAGCATCATAGCAACACACAAGGCACCATAGTATGACAAACTGACAGTATAATAAAATACAACAACTTCATTGGTTACAGAAAAGCCAAGTAGATCAAGCTCAACCATCAGGACTCAGAAGCAATTGTTATGGTTTGAAACCCAGTTCTGTAAATTACTGTTTAACTCTGCACAAGTTACTTAACTTCTCAAAGCTTTGATTTTATTTATCATAAGTTTGTGGTGAGAGTAAAGGAGTTAATAAAAGTAAAGTATCTCTTATAGTTCCTGATGGAAGGCATGTGCTCAGAAAAGGATAGCTTTCTTTATCATGAATAAGAAACACATAATTGAGGCACCTAAGCCAGCCCAGGAGTCCTGGTGTGGTGCTGTGGGTTAATGCGTCAGACTGCAAAGTCGTTTGAACTGTGAGGTTAGTGGTTCAAGCTCACCAGCTGTTCCTTGGAAACCCTACACAGGGTCGTTATGGGTCGGAACTGACTCAACAACACTTAACAACAACAACAACAAGCCAGCCCACGGCTGCCCCAAGTTTCCTTCTCCTAGATGGTCATACTGATCTGCTTGATAGCAATGCCTCCCTTAACTTTTCTTCCTCCTGAGAAAAAGAGTTTGAGTCTAAGAACTTTTCATTCTTCTCTAGTATAAGTATAAATTAGCAAAACCACTTAAGAAACAAGTTTTTACAGAATCTATTAAAGTTACATATATAGTACCTCTGACAAAGGAATTCCACTCTTGCATTTATACCCAGAAATGAGTACATGCATGCACCAAAAGACATGAACAAGAATGTTCATACACACTAAATTACATGTACAAAAATGTTCATAATAAATACAAACTGGAAACAATCCAAATATGCATCACAAGAAAGATGAATGTATATAATGCAATATATTCATTTACAATGGAATATTACAGAGCAAGGAGAATAAACTACAACTGCATGCAACAATGTAAGCCTCAAAAAACAAAATGCTAAACAAAAAAAAAGGCAGGCACACAAAAGTGTAAATTTTTCACATTTCATTTGTAGAGCATTTAAGAACAGGCAAAGTAAATCTATGGTGATGTTGTTGTTGTTATGTGCCGTGGAGTCGGTTCCGACTGATAGCGACCCTGTACAGGGTTTTTGAGGCTGTGAATCTTTACGGGAGCAGAAAGCCTCATCTTTCTCCCGTGAACAGCTGGTTCAGTTTCGAACTGCTGACCCTAAAATTCGCAGCGCGATTCGTAACCTCTAGGCTACCAGAGTCAGAAAAGTAGTTACCTTTGTTGTTGTTGTTAAGTACCGTAGAGTCGATTCCGACTCATAGTGACCCTACACAGGGTTTCCAAGGCTTTAAATCTTTACGGGAGCAGAACGCCTCATCTTTCTCCCGCAGAACAACTGGTAGTTTCGAACTGCCGACCTTGAGGTTAGCAGCCAGATTCATAATCACTTTGGAATGGTAGTGGTGGGCTGATAAATGTTTGGGATGGTAGTGGTGGGCTGATAAATGTTTAGCAATCAGCTCTCAAAACAAAAACAGCCAGGAACTCTGATCTTATCGCATTTGCCAGTTTTCATTGTGCAAATACTTCCACCATGGTGGATTTCAAACTACCAATGTGATGTCACTGAACACCAAATTGGTGTACATGTGGTTTGCCAAGACAATGTAAGCCCACTGCAGCACACGTATGGGCCAGGTTATAAAGGAACATTTTGGTGAGCTGAAGGAATTCGGGCAGCGTAGTGGTTACGAATTGGGCTGCGAACCTTAGGTCGAAACTACCAGCTGTTCCGCAGGAGAAAGATGAGGCTTTCTGCTCCGGTAAATATTTACAGCTTCGAAAACTCTGTACAGGGTCACTACGAGTCGGAACTGACTCCACGGCACATAACCCAACCTGGTGAGCTGAAAAGAATCTATATATTCATCTGGGTATTAGATGTATGGATGTAGATATTTATATCTACATCTCTCTCTATATCTATATCTATAGATATATATAGAGAGATATATGTAGACATATATATAGCACAGTACCACCTGAACACAATAATGAGATGTGAAAAACCACCAACATAAACAGTGTTATTTTTATTTTCAGACAAAATGCTATTATTTCATATCATTTTTCATATGTCACTCCAATCTTAAATAAGTTTGATACATCTGGAAGAGATCTTTGATCTGGCTAAATCAAACATTTTAATAGGACAGCAACTACTGATACATACAACATTCATGTATTTCAAATTACAATGCCAAAGCAAAATTTTGAAGAGGTTTTCCTGGTGATCTCTTGAGACATCCATAGATTCATTTTTCTGCTATCTGGCAGACCAACACCATAGAAAATACCATACCAAGTACCTATAAAATAAAATAATAGGGTTCACATGGAAATTAAGCAAAAATGTTATTGGAGTTATAAATAAATAGAAAGAACATATAGGAAAGATTTTGTTATTGACAGTTTTCATCTTATTTATCTAAGTCATCTCTCTTATGGGAAATTAAAGATTCTAATGGGACAAAAGAGGATTGAGAAAGTTCTCTGAATTTTTGCTTCTAACTGACCCTATTTGGAGTAGCAGCTGCCACCACAGCATCCCTCCTTCTCCAAAATAAGGGGGCTTCATAAAATTCATGGAAAAAATTGAATGAAAAGATAATGGAATCTTTTTATGGACTTTTTAAAGCCCTCCCAGAAATACCCTTCAGTAGGGTCTCTCCCTGAAAGTTCTAGGGAACTCTGTCTCCCTTATAACTAAATCTACCTGTTTCTTTCCTAAAAAAAGGTCATAGGCACACAGTTTTGAATATCTGCATACAAATCAAGGAGAATTTTTTTCTCTTGTCATAGTTTCAGGCATCATCAAAGGCCTTATATGGCCAGGGAAAACGTTCCCCACCTTTTCTTTAAATCTTCAAGGGAGCCAATGCTTCATCTTTCTCCCATAATTGTTAAGTAAATAGTACTAATTACTGTTGTTCTTAAGGAGCTCTGGTAGCATAGTGGTCACAAATCTGGCTGTGAACCACAGGGTCAGCAGTTCAAAACTACCAGCTGTTCCACGGGAGAAAGATGAGGCTTTCTGCCCCCGTAAAGATTTTCAGCCTCTGAAACCCTTTACAGGGTCGCTATGAGTCAGAACCGACTCCGCGGCACATAATTACCAACCGTTGTTGTTCTTGTGTGCCATCAAGTTGATTCCCACTCATAGCGATGCTATTTGTTGTTGTTGTTGTCGAGTCAGTTCGTTAGGACCAAATAAAATGGCTCTTTAAAGACCAAGCAGAATGACTCTTTAAGGTTCCCAAGGGTGGAATCTTCATTCAAACAGACTACCATATCTTTTTCTCTGGAGCAGCCAGTGGGTTAGAATTGCCCAACGTTTGGTTAGCAGCTAAGCACTTAATCACTGTGCCATCTGGGTTCTGCCCAATGACAACGGGTTTCATCATAATACATTTTCAAGGATTGGATATCAGAAAACACTTTTCAAAGCTTCCTTTTGAATAAAAGAGGAGGGAATATATGTATTTTTTCTTTTCTTTTTTAAGTACTATAAGAAGAGTAAGAATTAAGCAAAATTTCAAATAGTTCATTGACCCAATTACTTAATATATTGTCTAGACATTACACTTAACTAGTCTAATTTATAGAACAATTACATATTTTAGTATTAATTCCATACTTATAAATTACTGTCTGAAAGGTTTTTATTAAAGTATTTCCTTGTAGACATACTTAATACTATCAGCAAGATATTCAAATATGCAACAAATACACAGAGTACACAGATGTTATAAAATTATGAAATGTACTGTTCCTCTTGCAACCTTATCTTCTACTAGATGTATTTAGATTATCAGCAATTAGTTTGGCTAAGTTATAAAATACATCAATCTTTCCATTGGATTTGTTTTTGTTTTTAAATGCTGTTGAGTCAGTTCTGACTTATAGCAACCCAGTACAGGGTTTCCAAGAAGCAGATGGTGGGTTTGAACTGCTGACCTTGAGGTTTTGTTTTTATGAAAATTGTTAAACACATCTATGACTAGTGAATAAAGGATCTAACTTGGAACTTGCCACTTACGTTGACTCTGAAAATTTTATTTAAAATCTACTCTTTCAGTGTTTCATTACTAGTGCTCTGTGGCACTGTGAATTAATGCTCTGGACTACAAAGTTGCTTTGAATTGCAAGGTCAGCAGTTCAAACTCACCAGTCGCTCTGCAGAAACCCTATACAAAGTCACTATGAGTTGGAACCAAATTCATAGCACTTCACAACAACAACAATGTGATGGCTGGAACTGGGGTTGCCTTGGCAAGGTCAGACCAAATAATTTCACAGTCCTTATACAGCCAGGAGGAGTCCTGGTATGGTGCTGTGGATTAATGCACCACACTGCAAAGCCCTTTGCACTGCAAGGTTGGTGGTTCAAGCTCACCAGCTGCTCCTTGGAAACCCTATACAGGGTTGATATGGGTCAGAACTGACTCAACGGCACTTAACAACAACAACATATAGCCCTTGGTCAGGACATTCCCATTTCTGATGTTAAAATCTGAACCTTCTCCACGGCACTTAACAACAGCTATCAATGCATGCATGTGCTTGTTATATTTTTAAAGGTATGATTATATATATACACTTTTATATTATATATATGTGTGTGTGTGTGTGTGTCCCTACTCATCCCTATATTTCTAAATAAGCATAAACCAGAGTGCAAAGCAGAGAGGCAAAGGATATTTTACAAAAGGTAGAATTAACAGAAAAAGACCTAAGCACAACACCATTTGGTCATTGGTCATACCAACAGGGATATTTCATATCACAATCTAGTCATTTGGTTTATAAGAAATTAATATTCAACAGCTAGATTTCTTGCTATTTACTCCTTTCTTTGATGGCTGACTTGGAAATTTCACCAGCAACCTAAATGACTATTTAAAACATGAAACTGCTTCAATCCTAGCTAAAATTCCTCTCTGGCAGTTGTGTGACACAAGTGAGGGGTAGTAAATTACTAGAAAGTCCAAGGTAAGCACTGCACAGCATTTCATGAAAATGAAACAGAAGTTTCTCCTTGCACTTCAGTGGCCTAATTTGTAAATTATGACCAGTCTTTAGAGGCAACAATAGGGAGAAATGACACATCGTTGTTGTTATTGTTAAGTGCTCTAAGTCAGTCCAACTCATAGTGACCCTGCATAGGGTTTCCAAGGAGCGACTGGTGAGTTTGAACTACGGACCTAGGGGTTCAAACTGACTTTGTGGTCCAGTGCTTATCTTACAGCGCCACACCCACCAAGACTCCAGTTGTTAAGTGCCATCAAGTTGGTTCCAACTCATAGCAACCCTCTGTTTAGGGTTTTCAAGGAGTTTGAACTTATGGTTCAAACTGACTTTTCAGTTCAGTGCTTTATTCCCCAGCAGCATAGCAAGGCTAATGACCTGACATAGGATTGTGTGTGAATTCAACCCACTAGATTCCTGAATCACCCAAGATCTGTGAATGATTTCAAAAATTCTTCTCTGAAACAGTTTTATTTCATTTTCTTTGTAAAAAAATTCAGGCCATATAACAAGTATTCTTCAGTTTGTAAAAACGTCATGCTAAGAAAATTTGTAAGATAAAAAATCTAGAAAGCGTGTTTTACTTTTTTTTTTTTTCCAACAACAATAATTAAATTAATGAGACTAATTGACCTCAAGCCAACTTCTGAAGGCATCGCCAAATGAGTCCCCAGACCTTAATCTGAGAAAATTAGAGACACTACTTATAACTTTTAGAATTTGTTAGATTTCACTAGAATGAGATAGCCAAAAAGCAGCTCCTCATTTCAAATTCAGTTTTAATTTTCTGTTTCAAAAGCTGGAAGAGAGATACAAATTATAAGGTTGTATTTTGCTTTTATTTGATGTTTTTCCTTCTAACTTTAGGAAACTTAAACTATTGTACTATTGTGGTTTGGGTAGGGAGTAGTGGGATGGAAGAATATCTGGGCATAAGAACTGTGGGAAACTAAAATTAATTCTGTATTTTTCCCAGTAGAGAAATCACTCAAAGATAATATTCTTGGGCCTTACTCAAGTGGTAGGATTGTGAACTCAAAGGCCCAGACTCAAAACTGATTGAAAGGAATGCTGGTCTTTGGGTACAATGGTATCTCAGTGATTTTCAAAAGCACCTGGATTTTGACTCACTATTAATATTTGTTATAAAAATCAACAAATAATACACGAGATTGAATGACGAGAGTTAATTATATAAGTTTATACTATACCTCAATAACTGCCAGTCCAAATGCTATTCCAATAATCACAATAATAGATTTTTGAAAAATATGTTGTATAGAAGAAATACATGTCTGTTAAAAAGAAAAACATTAAAAGTTACTTTTGATTAAAATGTTGACCTTAGTTTAATTACAATTTGTAGTAAGTTGGTTGACTTTCTAAATGGCTACAAAGGAACATACTCCAGAAAAGGAATTAGACAGTCCCCTCCACATACAACTTTTCTCAAAAAGAGTTCAAACGATTAAGCTTTGTTCAGATGTTAAAATTTATTTGAAGAGCAAACTTTTGCTTTGGTTACCCAATTGCTGAATCTATGTATCTTAATTATTGATAATAATTTTATCCTAACATCAGATTACTCATTTTAGAATTGAAATTGCCTTGTCTTTTTATTTCTTAGATTTATAGCCTGAAGCAGAGAGTTCCCACATTGAGGTTTTAAGTAATACTATTGTAAATTCTCATTTTAAAAGTAAGATTTAAAAAAGAAAACCTTTAATAATATTTCTCAGTTTAATAAGTTTCTTTAAAAGAAAAAAAGAGCCTGTGTCCACTATTAAGTCCTTACTTTAGATGGCTCTTGTTGCTTTTAAGTGTCATCGAGTCAGTTCCAACTCATAGCAACCTTATATAGGGTTCTGAGAGTGGTTGATGAGCTTGAACCACCGACCTTTCAGCTCAAACCAACCTTGCAGTCCAGTATATTAACTCAGAGTGCCACACATAAGAAGGAATATTTAGAAATTTGCTTTTCTGTCACATTAAAAAAAAAATTTATTCAAATCTTCAAACACTCCAACCTTAAAGATTTCAGATCAGAACTAAAAATTCAAATCATTGTAAATTAAAAGGATAACTAACAAAAATGGGAAAATGCTTCACAATGTAAAAGTGGTATTATCTCTGTGGCCAAAAAATATATTCTTATAATAATCACATATGTACAAAAAGTAAATTGTTAAATTTTAAAAAAGGTCTACATAAGGCTGAACTAGACAGACTTTGTCCCTTCATTTCTGTATGTAGTGTGTTCCTCCCTCTCCATCTGGTCCATAGTGGTAAACAGGAGAGGAAACTATTAAGCCATTTAGGATTAACTATAAGATTAATGATTACATCTACTGAGTAACATTCATTCTAGTTGAGGCCTTTTCTTTCCTTTCCCCCATTTCCTAACCCACCACAGATAATCAGGTTATCTTGGCAGAAAGGAAGGGAAAAATTGAAAATGTGAATTATGATCATCCCAGACGTCTTATTTTTCCAGACTTTTTACAAATGACACAAGGCAGATGGAAATATTTTATGAATTTATGAACTTCTTTCTGGGAAACTGGTACACCTATCAGTCTACATTCAGTTGACTTATACATGAACTTAGAGGGAATATCTATCAATTTTTTTTTAGGATAATACGAGGAGCGTTTCAAAATCTATCTTGAGGAAAAACATCCTAACGTTGAGTGTTTCACAGAAAATAAATAGCAATTTACCAATTTGCTCACTGTCCTAACTAAAAACCACATTCAGTTTTACCACATTTAATTCCCCTTTGTCAATAAAATTAATTAGGGAGTAGGGAAGCTAGAAGGAATATAAAAGTAAGAACAAAAATTTTTTAATTATATTACTTTGGAAATGAAAAGACATTGTAAAATCATAGTCTAGTAGATAACTTCTCCCCCATGAGTTACTTTAAATATTAGTGAGAGAAATTCTTCAGAAAGAGTGTCTTTAAATTTAATAAGATTAGAGATAGTCAAAAGGAAGGAAATTTCCTTTGAGATACTATTTCCTGCTATATATTAACCTCAGTTGACTTTACTAACTCAAAAGAATGCCAGATTGAAAATAATTTTCAGGTATTACAGAAATTACTTTATTATGAATTATGATAATTTATGTATCTCTTTGAACATCGACTACAATCCCTCAGAGATCCAGAAGAATGTCCAGTGTTTTCAAGGCTCTGCCTGACACAAGAATGGCAATCAATGAATGAAACACTAATATCACTTGTCATTTTTATATGCTTTCCTGCCAAGCAGAGAGATCAGTATATGTAAAGACCTGTAGTAATAGACAAATATCATGTTCTCCAGGAAGATTTAGATAGATGGGCTCTCATAATACTTCGTGCCGACCCTTATGTTAACAATGCCAGTTGCCCATTGGGTTGAAATGACCTAACAATTGTCTCTCCCTCTTCCCTATTTGAGTATCAGCTCCATGAAGGTAGATATTGTGTCCTGTTCAGAGATAGATCTTTAGTGCTTTGTAGAAGGTTCAAAGGAGGTGATCAATAAATATTTGATGATTTAATCAATAATAAAAAAAAGAAATATGACATCTAAAAAATTTTTGTTCTAAACCTGCAACACAGAAAAGGTAATTTTTAAAAAAATGTAATTTAAAAAGTAATTGCCTTAAATGTCAAAGGCAGTTTCTCAATTGGAGCAAAAACTAGACCAATTGGCAGATATGCTTCACATCCAGAGTCTAAATTCTTAAAGACCGAAAACTTTCTTTACAACTATACAATTAGTTAGGAAATGAACCTTCAATTAGGAAAAAAACAAAAGGAACTTAGTGTTGAAAATTAAAATAAGCATTCTGATTAAACACAGAATTTATAATAAAATAGAAAAATAGTGAATAAACTCTTCAAAGAGAGGAAAATTAAACTCTTATTAACTGGTACTTGCTTCTTCTAGCAGTAGAATATTTATTTGATCTATTAAAGTTGGGTAAAATGATGCCAGACTCATAGAATACATTTATATATATGTATATGTGTATTTGTTGTTAAGTGCTATCAAGTTGATTCCAACTGTTTAGGATTTCCAAGGAGCAGCTCGTGGGTTTGTACTGGTGAACCTGAGATTAGCAGTCTCAGAAAATCTATACAGGGTTGTTATGAGTCAGAACCAACTTGACAGCACTTAAAATAACAACAAATGCTCATCCTACAATGCCACACCAGAATTCCTGTATGTATATGATTTGGATAAAAATATGAAAAGTAGCTTTTTAATTCTAGTTGATGGAAGGTTTGAAGAAATAATTAATATATTGGGAAACAGAATTGAGTTTTAAAGGTGTTGTAAAAATGAACTTAAAGTAGTTACAAGTTTAACTAAGGCAAATACAAAGTCTTGCATTTTGTACAAATGCAATTAGAGTACGAATGATTCAAAATTTCATGGCAAAGAAATGTCAGTTGCTTCCAAGAAACATATATGTTTCTTCTTTAGGGAATGTTCGGTGATTTTGATATGATTATTTCCATTATTAATGCTGTGACTTTATTTTATTGTTATAGAGACCTTTATTATGAAAAGGAAATAACAGATACACTTGCACTATTTAACTTAATTTAGTTCTCACCTGCTTGTAAACATATACTCCTTCATAAGTTATACAAGACGAATTTGGTATATCAGAACATGTACAGGAGTCGGAATATTTCTTGAAATTATCTCCCCAATCAGCAGCTCCATCGATCAAACCACAGCATTTCAACTGTTTGGTGAAAAGTATATAAAGCATCATCAATAACTTGAATTATATTCATCTAAAACCATTAAGCTATTTCTTATATTTATATAATATATTTCTTATATTAAAATATTGTACAAGTCACCTCACCCATATCTCTGAACGTAGAAACAAATATAAACAATTTTCCACTTTGGTGTTAATATCAATGAAGGAAAAATGGATTGTAGATGGAACAATCATAAAAACTCTTATGATTTCAGTTAGCATAAGAAAAGATCAGAGTCAAATCTTTGTATCTTAGATTTTACCAAAGAGGATTTCACAAAGTTCACGAGAGAACCAAGACCTCTTAAATGAACTATTGCTCAAAAGAGATTGTAACATTTTTATATGATTAGTAATCATTCCTTGAGGAAAGGAAGAAAGGGGTGAGGATAAAGCCCTTAGAATGATGTCAGGAAGATTAAGACCCAGAATAAACTGAAACCTGGGGAATCGCTAAAAAGAAAGAAGGGGAGCTTTACAAGACAAGACATTTTTTTTTTTTTAGGAAGAATAATAAATATTGGTTTTTAGAAGTTGTTGTTATTGTTATTGTTGTTAGGTGCCCTTGAGTTGATTTCAACTCACAGACCCCACATACGACAGAGTAGAACTGCTCCAGTGGGTTTTCTAAACCATAATATGTACAGGAACATATCTCCAGGTCTTTGTCCTGTTGGGCCAAATTACCAAACTTTAGGCTGACAGCTAAGAGCTTAACTGCAGCATTGCACCACCTGGGCTTCGTTAAGAAAATGGTAAAGCCCATAATTCAGAACATATAGTACACAATATTATTAGATACAAGAAGTCATCATCTCTCATCTGCTTTATACAAGAGAAAAGTATTCAGAAATGGTGGGGAAAAATTGCTGAAGTAAATAAGTTCCATACTGGACAGTTCTCCAGGCTCAGATATATTACAATATCAGGATATTAAAAGAATTCCTACTGGCTGGATGATCATGTTACCAATGCTATTTGATGTCTCTGTGTCTCACTTTCTTCATCTGTGAAATACAGATGATAATAGTTGCTAATCATACTATGTAATGCATAGGTTTGTTGTTAAGATAAAAATGAGAAAATCTATATAAAGATATGAAATGTTTAGCCTAGTATTTGACTCATAGAAAGTACTCAATGAATGTTAGCTGCTCTTGTTGCTATGGTGTTATTGTTTCCATTATGATTTCAAAGATTATATTCTGTTTGACATTGTTATCAATGGTTTGGATAAAATTATGAAAATTATCTTTTCAACTCTAGTTGATAGAATGCTTGAAGGAATGATGAATACTTTGGAGAACAGGATTGAATTTTAGAGATGGTATAAAATTGGAATGAAACTAGTTACAAGTTCAACTAAGGCAAATGCACAGTCTTGCATTTTGTATAAATATATGACTTAGCAGAATTTCATAGCACAGAGCTGGAGATTTCGGTTGGTTCCAAGGTCAATAAGACATCTGTAAGTAATCTCCTTTCCTGTGTCTGTGGTGGTTGGTGTTTGTTATTCAGTGCTGTTGAGTCAGTTCCGACTCATAGGGACCATGTATAGGATTTCTGAGGAATGGCCTATGAATTAGAACCACTGCTATTTGCAGTTCAAACTGATCAGACACAACTAAATGCTCACTCTTTCCCATTAAACAATTTTGAATACTATTAATTTGCACGAAGAGAAGAATTAGTCTCAAACTGCAGACAATGCGATTAGCAGTACTGTGCTTATACTCAGTGCTACTAGCACTTCCCAATTAGAATACTATTGTTGTTAAGTGCCGTCGAATCGGTTTCAACCCATAGCGACCCTGTACAGGGTTTCCGAGGCTGTAAATCTTTACAGGAGCAGAAAGCCTCATCTTTCTCCCGCAGAACAACTGGTAGTTTCGAACTGCCGACCTTGAGGTTAGCAGCCCGATTCGTAACCACTACGCTACCAGAGCTCCTTCAATTAGAATACTAGTGGCCATAAATGCAAAATTCTTATATCAACGAGAAGCTGAGTTAAGCTGAAGTTTACTTTTTTATTATTAAAGGAAAACTGCTTTCTTTCCTATTGTTTCTGAGTCTGAAGTCTGAAGAGCACAGAGTCCAGGAGGGGTTCCTGAGTGTTGTGTTTTGCTCGCCTGAGTCTCTGTGGAGCCAATAGGGTATCTACTAAAAGTGGAAACGGAGCTCAAGGAATTGTTTGGGGTGCGGGGGGGGGCTCTATCTTGTTGGGGGTGACCCCTCCAAGGCCGCTGCCAACTTCTGCCTGCTGGCCATGTGAGGAGAGGGACACAAAAGCCATCCTTCTGTAAGACTGTAAAAGGATTGCTATGCATAATTAATATGAAAGGAGCCTGGATAAAGAAGATGTGGTTAGGAGGAGTTCCGTAGAGTAAGTTCCACATTAATTGTACAAGTAGTATTCAGAAAGAAAGAGAACAGTAGTAAATACATTACAAGTATGAGGGAGGATGCAAGGATAGAAGGCAGAATTATTCAAGGGAGCCTTGATAGACAAATCTAGTTTAATTGAAAAGTTTTGTTCATGGAATAGTATTTAATAAAGTTAAATGATTGGGTAGGAGCCAAATAGTAAAATACCTTCAGTGCCTGCCTAAATTTTAAGTGTATCCTAAAGACAGTGAATAATATAAAAAAATAAATAAATAAAGGAAAGGTGGATTAAGAAAAGGATAGTGTGATGACAATTGTAATTTAGCTCTTAGAAAGGCCTTCCTAAAAGGTCTTTCTTAGTGTATTAGTTAAAAAAAAAAGTTGTTGATTTTCACTGCCATTCAGTCGGTTTCAACTCATATTGGCACCATGTGTCAAAGGAGAACTGCCACATAGAGTTTTTAAGGCAATAATCTTCAGAAATAAATCACCAGGCTTTTCTTCCGTGGCGCCTCTGGTTGGACTCAGACTTTCAATCATTTAATTAACAGCTGAGTGCATTAGTTGTTTATACCACCCAGGGGTTTCCATTTATAAAATATGAATAATGGTATTACTCATATCATAGAGTTACTTTGAGGAATAAATGAGCTACTATACATAAGGCCTGGAATAGTAAGTGGCAATAAATTTTAGATATTTATTATCTAAATTTTAGGTATTTATTATATCTAAAATTTAGATATAGGGAGGGGCAGAAAATCGACTCTTCAAATTCTCCAAACACATTATGCTTCTAAATACAAGATATTAAAATAAGTAATGGTCTGATCCAATTAAGATTGGATTTTAATCTCATAAACATAACTGTCTTAATGACAGCCCTTTTAAACTGCTTCAGAATTCATATGAAGCTAGAAAAATATTTCAAATAGTATTAGATTTTTATATTATATGGTGACACAATTATTACTCAAATTTGCAAAATGAAGATATTCTTCATTCTTTAAAAAATAAACACTTTAAGAACTCTGTCCAACTTTCAAATGCTCAACAAATTTTGTTTACCTCTTCTTCCAGTTTAGCTATGGTGTTTTGAAATTTCACTGCAGAGTCGTTTGTTTCTTTCAAAAGCTTTACTTCATCATGGAGTGTTTCATTCAGAGCACGTTCCAACTGAAAAGTAAAAATTGTTTTTAAATTATTCATGCCATAAGGTGGTATTTCAATTTTTCAGATCTTTCCAAAATGATTAAACATTATATAGTACACACCTTAGGTTTTAAAACAGCTGCTACGACACCTGCAGCCACTTGAAGAATCAGGATGAGAAGCAATCCTATGAAAAACTAAGAGGGGGACAAAAAGAATGTTTATTATCTCCAGTGCATTCAGTGCAATGTATACTGGGACATTTAGCATAACCATCTCTCTCCTTCTCTACCTCTCAATCTCTCTGCAGCCCTGTTCACGTCACATTAGAGTATTACCCATGCTTTTCATTTTGTCTACCCTTTCCCTTAAGCTACAGATTTGGCATCCTTAGTAGTCAGAAACATTTGCTCCAAAATCTGAAGAAGGAAAATCATTCAAATAAAATTTACTGGTAGCACTATTGTCATTGATATATATTGAATGATAAAAGGCTTAGAAAATTCAGTGTTTCTCTTTCCCTTTCTTCATCAAACACAAACACACACAAACTCGGAACTAGCTCCCAAACAGTATTTCAACCACCATTAGAATCCCCTGGGATTCTGTTATAAATATATATTCCTGAAATCATAAATTTGGAGCATGCTGCCCACAATTTGTTTTATTAAATAATCACCTTAAATAATTAAATTCCCCAAATTAAAATAATAATAATCTTAATAATAATAACTTTAAAACAGCCAGTATTGATACTATTGTTTTTGTTGTTGCTGTAAGTGGCATCATATATAGTCCAACTCATAATGACCCTATATAGTGACTCCAAGGAGCAGCAAGTGGGTTTGAACTACTGAAATTTAGATTAGCAGTCCAGTGCTTATCCTACAGCATCACACCAGGACTCCAGGAATGCTATTAGAATCGAATATGCTGTACTTCTATTTACCCTCATAATAAACCATTAGTTTTTTTTTTTTAGTAATTGTAACAATACTTATTTAATTAGAGAACTATTTTAGATCAGCTCTAATAAACTCTTGTGGAAGATTTTTATCTAGTAAGATCATAATTTATTTCTGAGATTCTTACTATATCCATTTTTCATTTTCTTCTGTATTCATGTATGTTAAAAACAATGCCTGTGTATTATCCTAATCTGATCTATCACCCATGCAACTTAGGAACAAACCTGATTTTCTCCTTTACAACTTTCTTAGCATAGCATATAGATACTTTATGATTTGACCCAGGTCCACACTCATACTCATCTCCCTTCAGTCACTGAAAAATAACCTCCAGACATACCCAAGGCCTTGTAGTTGGTGGAGCAACTCGTCCTCCACCACTCATCTGTCAGTTTGTTGTACTGTGGGGGCTTGCATGTTGCTGTGATTCTGGAAGCTATGCCACCAGTATTTTAAATACCAGCACATGGACACATTTCAGATGAGTTTCTAGACTAAGACAGACTAGGAGGAAGGAGAGATGGGCTACTTCTGAATATTTACTCACTGAAAACCTTATGAATAGCACTGGAACACTGTCCGATAGCACCAGAATATTGATTATTAAAACATGATGAAGAGAACCAGAATATTGTCAGATATAGTACTGGAAGAGAAGACTCTCAGGTTGAAGGTACTCAAAATATGACTGGGAAAAAGCTGCCTCCTCACAGTCGAGCTGACCCTGATGAAATGAATGGAGTAAAGTTTTTGGGGCCTTCATTTGCTGACGGGGCACAATTCAAAATGAAGAGAAACATCTGTAAACATCCATTAATAACCAAAACATGGATTTTATGAAGCAAAAATCTATAAAAATTGGAATTTGTCAAGCATGAAATGGAACACATAAACATCAGTATCTTAACATTAGTGATCTGAAATGGACTGGCATTGGCCATTTTGAATCTGTCAATAATATGGTTTACTATGCCAGAATGACTAAATAAAGAGAAATGAACATAGCATTCATCATCAAAAAGAACATTTCAGGATATATTTTGAAATATAATACTGTCTATGATATCCATATGCCTGCAAGGGAGACCAGTTAATACCACTATTATTCAAATTTACACACCAACCACTAAAGACAGTGATGAAGAAATTGAAGAATTCTACCAATTTCTTGAGTCTGACATTGATCAAACATGCTATTAAGATGTATTGATGATAATTGTTGGTGATTGGGATACAAAGGGTAGAAACAAAGAGGAAGGATCAGTCATTGGAAAATATGGCCTTGGTAGTAGAAATGATGCTGGAGATCACATGATACAATTTTGTAAGACAAATGACTTCTTCTTTGCAAATATATTTTTTAAACAACATAAAAGATGGTTATATACATGGAACTCAACAGATAGAATACACAGACATCAAACTGACAAAATTTGTGGAAAGAGACATCGGAAAAGCTCCATATTGTCAGCCAAAACAAGGTCAGGTACCAACTGTGGAACAGACCATCAGTTGCTCATGTGCAAATTCAGGCTTACGCTGAAGAAAATTAAAGAATCAACAAGATCAAAAAATGACCTTGAATATATTCCACCTGAATTTAGAGATCATCTCAAGATGTAATGCATTAGACACTAGCGACTGAAGACCAGAAGAATTGGAGGATAACATCAAGAACATCATACATGAAGACAGAAAAGATTATTAAGACAAGACAGAAAGAAAAGGCCAAAATGGATGTCAGAAAAGAGTCTAAAACTTGTTCTCCAGCATAGAGATGCTAAGGAAAATGGAAGAAAAGAGGAGATAAAAGCTAAACAGAAAATTTCAAAGGGCAGCTTGAGAAGACAAAGTCAAATATTATACTGAAATGTGCAAACACCAGGAGTTAGAACACCAAAAGGGAAGAACATGCTCAGCATTTCTCAATCTGAGGGAACTGAAGTAAAAACTCAAGCCTTGACTTGAAATATTGAAGGATTCTCTGGGTAAAATATTGAATGATGCAGAAAGCATC